GAGCCTTCTCCCCCAGCGTCGGCCCGGCGGAGGTGCCCGCAAAGCCGCCGCCTCGGCCCAGGGGCGGGAGGAGAAGGGGGCCGCGCAGCCGCCCAGGAAACGGGGCAGCGGAACAAAAGCGGGCGCTTTTCCCCCAGGAGGCGTGGACGGCCCAAGAGAGGCCCAGCCGGCCAGAGCGCCGCGTGGAAAGGCGCAAGAGCTGGCCCTGAACAGAAGCAGCAGCAGCAGCCGCCTCAGAGAGACAGAACGGGCTGAAGAGAGAAACGCGGATGCGCACAGCGCAGGGTTTCGCTTTAAGACGGGCGGACTTCAACTCCCAGAATTCCCCGGCCAGCCAGCCAGCCCCTGCACTTTCCTTGGCGAGATGGTTTGCCCTTGCCTTCTCCTCCTTCCCAGGGCTGAGCGAGAGGGACCGGCCCAAGGTCACCCAGCTGGCTTCGTGCCTAAGGCGGGACTAGGACTCACCGTCTCCCGGTTGCTAGCCTGGTGCCTTCACCACGGCACCAAACTGGCTCCCTTGTTCAGCATACCATGATTTTAAAAGCCACGGTTTACATGGATGCACGAACCAAGCATTTAGCTAACTGCTGGAATTTGCAGCTTCTAAATGCAGCAACCTCTACAGGGTTGAGACGATTTTACAAGACAGACACATTTATGGAGGATCTTCCAAGCTATAGTTGAAACTATTGCTACATTTCATTGCTTCGTGGTGGAAAAATCAAATCGGCCCCCAGGTGACTAGCTTTCTGCAAGCTTTAAAAAACCTGATTCTAGTCCAGCCCCTTTACCTCTGCACCGCACTCCAAGATGACTTGGTCACCCTCCATCAACCATTGTTTTGCTTCTCCCCAGCTGCTGCAAAGTTAACGGAGGGCTATCATTTTGTCTTCCCATTCTGGCTTTTTGCACCAGAGTAAAAGCCCAGCTGGGATTCCCACCTTTGGGGAATGTAGTTGGGGGCTGAGCCACCCCATCTCCTGCCCTTTTCTCCCTCTCTCTGGAGCTACTGGAGAGTCAGAATTAAAATACCCATTGAGCCAAAGTGATCCAGCATTGTTGGGGTCCAACACCCCTCCTCTTGGATTGCGGTGGCCAAGTCAGAATCAGCTGGCCAGATTTGGGTGTCTGCTTGATGAACTAATCTATCCTCCACAGTCCAGTTAAATGTGTCACATCAACACAAGCCACTAGCAGAGAGAAGAATGATTGTCCCATTTGGCAACTCTTTGGATATTATAGAAACAATCTGGCACCAAACCAGCCTTATAATGCTAGCACCAGGTACAGACCTTCCAGCTATAAGGCTGGGTTCTCATAACACGCTAAACTAGACCAAACTCAGCAGGGCATTTGTTTTTGCGAGAACCCAAGCATGGCCCTAATATATCGCTTGGAGCCAGCCATTGGTTTAAACCATAATATGGTTTATTTCCTTTGGACATGTTAAATGAACCAAGCGATTGTATTTTGTTAATCTGGGTTTGGCATGCCTTTTTAAAACAAAATTTCTTTAATATACAGAAAGAAAGAAAAAAAGCAAAGGAAAGAAACAGCAAAAAGAGAAAATGTCCTATGATCCCAATCTAGCCACGCTGTTCTTGTTTATTCAAAGTTTAATTTCTCCCTCCCTCTCAGACAAAATGAAGCTAGCATCTGGAAGAAGAGCAATTCTTGCATCTCTTACCAAGCAAATTGTAAAAATGGCTTCCCAAGTCATGCTAAAGTCAGCTGTTGCTCCTCTTCACCAAGTAGTCTCTGATGGAAAGCACAAAAGCAGGGATGTTTGCAGAAAACCGGGGGTGGTTTAAAAAAAGTCAAGATGGCGTCCACATCTGTCTGATGAGAGGGGTGGTGCTTTGATTACACAACTGCCATCCTGCCTTTTTAAACTCCTCCTGCCTGTTTGGGAACACCTGGATTTGAGCTGAGCCTTTGCACAGGACGTCTCCCCCAATTTTCAAAAGCCTTCTGCAACAATTCTGCTGGGGCCTTTCGAAGGACTCAACCATCCTTTTCCAGCAAGCCAGATGTGGATATATGGAGAGGAAGGCAAACTGAAACAAGCACCGAGTCAGGGAAAAAAAAGGGAAAATGAGGTGAAAATGAGGAAATAAAAAAAAAGAGACATCCTGCCCTTTTCTGGCACAGGCTCTGCCCACCACCAGCTTTGGCTCCAACCACTCTGGCATGTGTTCACCCATCAATCACCATCCAGAGAAGCTGATCCTTGTTGGAAAACAATGTTCCTTATTCCTGATGAACAAGAAGGCTTTGTTCCAGCAGAGAGAAATCTATTTCAAATAATAAACCTGGGGGCCCAAATGGGACTTACTTGGCACAGTGGCCCATTTGTGAGTCCCCCTTAGCCCATGTGGGCCCTCTTGGGTTTAATGAGGAGCCATTTCTGACTGAAATGCCTCCAGCAGTGAGAGCACGGTAGGGTTTCTCCCCCATGCGAGTCCTCTCATGCCAGATCAGGTCTGAGCATTCAAGGCTGAGGACTGGTGTGGCTTGCCCCCAGTGTGTTTCTCTTTATGCTTAATAAGGTTCCAGTTATAAACAAAGCTCTGTGGAGTCCTTGGAGTTCTCTGAGCTTGGTTCTTTTCTTGCAAAG